CATAGAGAGTATCGCAGTAAACATATGAAATTACCCCCCATGAAAATGTTTTCTAAGATTGCAAAATCTGCTTGGAATAAAGAAACACAAATCGTTAAGAACGAATACATTAAGCTAACCAAGGATGCCAAAACTTTGTACGACGAGGGGAAGAAGTTTCAAGAAAGCGAGAGTGCCGGACATGTCGATCATTATGAAGTAACCAAAGTAACCGAGGAAGAACCCAAGAGTGTTCCGAAATGAAACCCACAATAACCGAAGTAACCGAAATCGAGGAAACACCCAAAGAGTGTTCCGAAATGAATGCCAAAAACCCCAAAGTAACCGAGGAAGCACACAAAGGGTGTTCAATCAATATTTTGCGATTTGCTTCAAATTTTTTTTTTTTTTTAACTCACTTTTCAATATTCGTTATATGAACCTTTTTTTATAATAATTATTTGTTATAAAAATCCGAGATAATTGAAGTCTCATTTTATTATACACTAATTATCCCGTTATAATTTTCAGAACAAGTATTGTTATGAATAAGTTTTTAAGCAAGATAAATTTAGTTTATTTTATCTTTATACGCCTTCAAAGCAAAATTATTATTAGATAATCAATAATTAAATAAATATTTATCTATGATTAAATAAACTCGATTCCTATTATTAAAATAAAAAATCAACTTTTTGTGGGCGAGTAATGAATTTATCTCATGCTACATATACTGTATATAAATTACAAGTGGAAGCAACAGGTTCCTAACATTTTTTATTGTTATAAAAAAAAATTATTAAAACAATTCGAAATCTCTCGGTTTCTACCAAGTTGGATTGGTGCATATGAGGATTTATCAACACAACTCCTTCCGCATACAAGAATGTAAATTTTTCTTTTAATCTTATCCCTGAAAACACCTACTCTACTGGAATTAAAACCAGTAAGACAATGTATGACATATATTAATTTCTGATAATTTACATTTAGATTTATATGGTTAACTTTGATTTTATGTCAAACTTGGAGAACAATAGCTTCGCTAGTCTAAAAACGTGCTGTTAGGCACAGCAAATCCATTCGCACATGACCAAAGTTCATTTATCAGTTGATTGCAAACTATGAATGGAAAAAAAAAATTTACTGCTCTTTCTATATTGATACGAATAAAAAGAAGTCAAAGGCAGTGACGAAGTAACTTAATAAAGTCAATTGGTCACATTTCATGCATAACAAATTATCTCTATAATATTAACCTGGATTCAACAGCAACAACCATTTGTGCCGGAAGTCTCAACAATCAAAATTTTTTGTGGATTTTATATCACGTGATTAGTAATTGACCAATGAAAAACGAGAAATTAATCATTTTTTTTGTGTATCGTTTTAAATTATAATATTTCGGGCTGACATTATGATTAATTACCATAATGCCGGCTCGAATTATCATAAATTTCAATCAATAATATATGTTTCATATTTAGGACGATCATATGAACATTATCCAATTTTAAATATCTATATCTTTTTATATAGAACTAGAACAAAATTATTAAATTTAATAATACATTAGAATTAAGATTAAAGATTAAAAATATATTTTTATAAAACTCTAATATAAATTAATATTAAGATTAGAGTTAAAGTTAGAATGGATTAGATTATTTATAAAAAAAATATCAATAAATTGTATTATTTAGTTAACATTTACTATAATAAAATTAAGTTTTAAATACCTATTTCACATCATATAGTGAAACTTTAGATATTACCTAAAATTTTGAATATGAATAGTTGTCAAAAAATTTTATATTCTTTAATATATTTTGTAATTAAACATTTAATTTAACTTTCACTTTATATAATTAGACACATTTTAATAATTTTAATGCAACATATGCTGAAAATTATATATTATTATATATTTAAAATAATTTTAATTTTTTATATGATTATTGATTGAATTGATTTCAAATTGATTTTTGATTAATTTGATTTATTAAAATCAATTCCAATCTTTATATTATTATTTGTAATGATAAATTTTAAAAAGAACTAATTTTAAGATTAAATAATTCATTATCTTAATTATATATAATTATTTAGTTTATAAAATATTTTTTTAAATTTAATTATACAGATTAATATTTTAAATAATTTTTTTTCAAAAAAAAATAGATAATAAATTATTAATATTAAAATTATAATAATAATTATATTAGTAGTTTAATAAGATTATATCAATGCAGATAATATATTAAAAACATATTTATAAAATATTTTTAATTTTTTTATTTATTATTCAATTATTATATTATTTTATTAAAATATAAGTTTAAATTTAAATATTAGCATATGTAAAGAATATTATAATTATATTTTAAATATCTTATATTTTTATTACATATACTGAAATATTTTAATTACTTGTTGATATTATATAAAGTCAATCTTACTGCATTGCAAAGGTTAATAAAAAGCTCAATTATTATATTATTAGAATAATAAAGCTTATTTGTTAACAAGGAGTTTAAGTTATTAAAATATAAAAGAAATAAATATGAATTTATTAAGTTGAAGAATCAGGACATCTTTATTAATGATTTATATTTTAAGAAAATAAATATTAGCAAAGATATAAGTTTTATGTTATTAAGATTATATTCTATTTAATTGTAAGATATAAACTTGTCCCTTTTGTTAAGGTAATTATACTAGATATTTATATAAAATATAAGTATTATAAATAGATAACAAATATAATAAAATAATAAATATAACTATAATAATAATAATAATAAATAAAATAATGATAAATAATAGTATAAATAGAATAAATAAAATGATAACTATAATAATAGTGAAATCAGTAATAAGGGATATTATACTTTTTATAAGAATTATTAGTGATCCTAATTAATGCAGTCATTTAGTAATGTATATGAATTATTACTAATAATATTATTAATAGTTTTAATCTCTTTAATTTATTTAATATTTTTATTTTATTTATATTTATCTTATATTATTATTATTATTTATTTTATTATTTATTATATTATTATCATAGTTAGATTATATTTTATAACTTATATTAACTTTAGCATTATAATTTAGTTTATATAAAATAATGTTAAATTGTAATCTTCTTATAATTATATTTCTGTATAAATAGGATAGAAAATTGTTCTTATAAAAAAACAGAAATAATAATTCAAAAGTATAAGTTAAAGATTTAAAGTCTAAGAATAAGGATTACTAAGAATACAATCTCTATAATAAAGGAAGTTCTTTCTAAATTACATACATATTAAAATTCTTTAATGTGTAAATTATATTTATTATTCTTATAATTGTTAAAGTTATTTTATTCATTTAAATTATAAATCTAAGATTGATTATAATAAGACTTATTCTATAGTAATTTAATAATTTCCATAATTTTTCATATATTACTTTCTATTATTAAATTATCATTACCTTAATTTAATAGATTAAGTATAAAGTTAATAATATTAAATATATAATTATTAACTATTATTATTTGTGTTTTTTATTTTTTTCAAATTAGACATATTTCAATAAAGACTTTATAGGTTATCTTTTTTTTTATTCTTATTTTAAAGATTTTTATTATTAATTTTCTTTTTATGTGACTTTAGTATTTTATTTTTTTTATATTTTATAATTTATTTATATTCTATAATTTGTTTATATTTCTATATTATATGATTTATATCTCTTAATATGTAATTTTAGTTAACTATTTATTATAAATCTTTATTCAATTAGTTATTTTCTAATTTTTTAATATTGTAATTTTTTCATTTTTGTTAATAAATTATATGATATAACATTTTATATTATTTTTGATTTTATAATATAAAATATTTAAATAAAACTATTTTTAATATTTAGAAGTATAATGTTAAATCAAGTAAATATTTTTATATATTTAATTACTATTTTATATTCAATATCAAAAAATTGCCTAAAAATTAAAAATAGCTTTATTTAATATTTTAAAAATAAACCTTAATTTTAAGCAAATTTTCTATATTAGAATATAAAGTAATAATTAAATATGAAAAAAAAATATACTTATCTAATTTAATGCAATGCTTAATATTAAATAAAATCTGCTAATAATTAAATAAAATTAATTTTTAGATTAGTGTTTTCAATATTAAGATATTATATTAATATGAATAATTTTTTTACATTTTCAATGAGTTCATTTTCATTTATCTTAATGTCTATGTTGAAAGGCTGTAGTAATTAATTCTACACATTAGAGTTTCTAACTTTAGAATTTTCTCTAAGTCCTACAGGTATCCATTATACTTGAATCAACTCAGCAATTTATCACGTCTTAGAATTTAAGATATGTTAGT